ATTCTAGTTAAGTAAGTTCTCCCTACACATATTTGACTGTGCTTGGTCGATTTCCTACTTGAGATTCCACGATCATCTACAAATTCTATGTAAACGATCTTAAGTCTATCCAAAAGATATATAGGTTAGATTCTATATAGTTCGATTCTGTTATTAATAATTGGTATAGCAGACTAGTAGCAAACAAAATTTGTTGTCACGTATTTAATATTTAACGATCACCGGTTAAAGATACCGATGCAAAATTGCAAAATTAACAAAATCCTTTCTCTCAGTGCTCCTAAGATTAAAAATTGTGCTTTTTCAAGATTGGCTCCATTTTCATTCTGTAGAAAGAGATTCCGAAGAATTTAGCGAGTAAGTTTTACTTACTCTCTGAAAATCTTACGTAGATACCGTATTAGATATTTTTATTTCGCCGCAAGGGGCGCAAAAAATCTGAGAAACCACGGTGTGGACCTTACCTGAATCGTCGCAGCTATTTCTGCCCCGAATCCATTCGTCATCGGCGCTTCGTGGGCGACGATAACGCGTCCGGTTTTCTTCGCCGACTGTAACATTCGAACATATAATACATACCGTATCATGCATATACGGTAATTTATTATTGGTCTCTAACCGCCGCGGGTTTAATTCGCATGTGATTTACGTCCCGTCCCACATTGCGGTACAATAATAACTTCACATGCACGGCCGATGCGCTAAACCGGCGCATTAACGACGTCGCTGATGACGGCATGAGCCGTTTTGTAACAGCTATCAAATACGGGTCTACGACGTGATCGACGTTGTAGAAATATACGCGGGAACAGCCGGTACGATCGGGACACATAGGTACACCTGTGCCCCTTTTGTGCGCATGTGTGCCCGTTCTGTTGTAAATCATTAACAAAGGTAATCAGATAGATAAGCGCGACTGAACGCTGAATACAGGTTCCTATGACATTTTCGATTCGCACCGACCTTCCCCGCAACTTTCAGGAGTTACAATCTTTCGTTACGGATACCGCAGAAAATCTACGTCTCTATATTTATCGGATTGATATTTATGGGTTTCTGCATGTCTACTATTAACCTTTATTAACAGGCGCCTTACTGTCACGATAAATGTTTGAATTATTGCCCCTTCCTCGTAATGTTCAATCCCTTTCAAACGCCTAAGGAGAATAACATCAATTGACTTTGCGTTTACGTTTAAAGGAAGTCGATAATACTACCAATTGCGTCTCTCCCTTTTACTTATTAATTGTGACATTATGTTAAAAGAAGGATATTTTATGATATATTTCATCAATCAATGTAACGTATATAATAATATATATCTTTTCTGAAGGCTGAGCTTTTTTTGTAAGATATAAAAAATTGTTGTTATTAAGGCTATATTTCAAAATTCATTGCTGGTGTTGAAAATCTGTAGTGCATGTAATATAAATTATAGATTTTCAGAGCTGACAGTGAATTTTGGAACATAATCTTAATAACGGCAATTTTTAATAAGCAAGTCTAGTTAGTAATGGCGAACAGGAGCCTTAAAATAAAGATTCTGATTGAAACTATTGAATCGATGATTAATCACACGGTAATAATCCAATATTTCATACTTTCGTGTTTATGAATCATTCATTTTTAACCCTCTGTCAGCTAATTGGGCTCACGCAATTATAAATTTTTTTCAATCAAAAATGTCTGCAATTAAATTTTTTTTATCCCAAGAAAAATAAGAAAGTCAAGATATAATATCATGAACTGAATCATGACAAAAAATGAAATAAATTCGGTCAATCGATCAATATGACATCAAATTAACATTATTTTGGCTTCTTCTCTTTAGGATGTTACATCTGCAAAAGTTAATTCTTATTAAAATATATTCACGATTAGTGCTTATTAATTCTTTTTTTTTATACAAATTATGTCATTTTCGTTCCTTGAAATTAATTAGTGCCTTTTAATTAACATAAATTAAATGAGTAAATTAAATGGGTCTGTAAGACGTCAGTATCAGTAAATATGTTACAAATTTTGGGCGTCAATTTCGAAAGTTTAAGTATCTCCTTGATGGGATATTATTGAGTATAGTA